TAGTCATTTGTGTCCATGTTACACGCAATGCTGCAGTAAAGTAACACATCTATTGAATTGGGAAATCCCTAGAAATTCAAATGACATAGATTTCATTTCCTGTGCCGCACAATCATATTGTCAAGTGAATCATCTAAATGTTTCAAAATACAATAGAATGAAAATTCTGAACATGTTTTGTCACAACTTTTGTTACTGAGCAAAGTGAAGTTTGTCCAAAATCCATAACAGTAGGAGTTACACTGTCATAATATTTGCTTAACAGTTGCAGCAGGAACCAAAATCATGTATGGATGTGGCAAAGTCTCAGTGATGCAAGACTTCAGTGACTGAAATCGATGAGTACAAAGGCAGCATGATAGGAATAAAAGCAAACAGGCAAATGATCAGGACACAAGGAGGATCAACAAAGGACGCCCTCTACTCTGTGGTCCACACTGCTCTCACCCACCTGGAGTAGAAGGACTCCTATCCATGTGACCTTTGTAGACTTCACATCTGCTTTCAGCACCCTGACTCCCCAGACCCTGATGGACAAACTACTCACACTAGGACTAAGCTCCTCCCTATGAAACTGTGTCATGGACTTCTTAACAAACAGACCACAGTCTGTGAAGCTCCATAACTTCTCCTCCACCATAACCCTCAGCACTGGTTCCCCGCAGGGCTGTGTGCTGAGCCCTCTCCTGTTCACTCTGCTCATATAAGACTATGATCCTACCCATCCAGGCTGTCATATTGGAAAGTTTGCAGATGACAGCTGTGGTTGGATGCATCACAAACAATGATGAGTCCAGCTACAGGCAGGAGTTGGAACACGTGGAGAGCTGGTGCAGGAAGAACAACCTTAACATAAATGTGAAGAAGATGAAGGAGATGATTTGGCATTCTGAAGGAGCAAACACACCTACCCACCCCACCAGACATAAGAGGATCTGCGATAGAAGTGGTCTCCAGCTACAAGTACTTGGGTGTGCACCTGAATGACAACCTCAGCTGGGGCAACAACACCACCAGCCTGATTAAGAAAGCTCATCAGAGACTCTACTTCCTCAGACGGCTGAGGTGAGCTGGACTGGGAAGTTCAGTCTTCAGCTCCTTCTACAGGTGTGCTGTGGAGAACATCCTGTGCTCCAGCATCAACGTGTGGCATGGAGGCTGCACAGCTGCAGAAAAAAAAGCTTTGCAGAGAGTGGTGAAGGCTGCACAGAAGTCTGTTGGAGTCAGCCTCCCCACCATCACAGACATTTACACCTTCAGATGCAGGAAGAGGGCCACCCGCATTATGAAGGACTCCACTCACCCAGCACACTCACTTTTTGTCCCGCTCCCCTCAGGTAGAAGGTTGAGGATCATTAAGTGCAGAACCACTAGATTGAGGAACAGCTTCTACACTGAAGCTGTTAGACTCTTAAATTCATAACCAGAAAAATCACAGTAATGCCACTTAATTGGAGATTTGACACTTTATCTGTGCTGCTGATTGTCCATGCTGCTGATTTCTTGCCTTTAATATGCTGTATTTATACCAGTCTGCTCAAAACAGACTCATGTTCAAGCTGCTGTTTAATACACCATATTATATTACATCATTATTGTTTAATGTATATCTTAGATCCTTGTATACTGTTTCTTTTGTATACTTTTTTTGTTTCACTTTTTGGATGTAACTGGGACCTTGAGTACACAATTTCCTTCCACCTCATGTACCACCTGTGATGTGAATGACAATAAAGAACCTTTAACCTTCAGAATGAGAGGAGTTTATCACTAACTGTGAAATACCAGGAAGAATATCTTGTCTGAGGGGTGGTTACTGGGTTACAGCAGGTGTCCAGATATGTAATACATGCAAGTGAGTGAAGAGACGTCCAGTATGATTGCTATGCAAATAACAATACCTGCCCAAAACACAAGAATATACATATATATATATATATATATATATATATATATATATGCCTGTAT